CCTTCCTCAAACAGTCCGAGCAGTTCCTGCTTGTATGGGACAACACGTACGCGTCGCGCTTATGGTGCATTTTAGAGTTGGCCGCATTCTTGAAAAGCCATGAACACCAAGAGCAGAAAGTTCAGATCAGGCTGGCTGTCACTTGGGCTATGTTTTAGGGTTTAGAGTTTAGGGTATGTGAAGGATTCACTTACTTTGGTGTTGGGTGCTCATTTTTTCAGGAACCCCTAGAAAGCAGTTATATGTATTTCCCTACCGAGACCTAACCTAGGTCATGGCTCCTTGCATTTTGGGTATTGGTTTCGCACTTTGGGCTACCATGCTGCAATGGCTATTGTTTTTCGAAGAGAGCTATTTGGACACCGTGGTACTCCTGGTCTCGCGCTGGCTTTTCATGCACCTTAACCTACCAAAACCTTTTTCTTGTTCGTAGGGTCCCTATGCATTCCATATTAGGGTTTGCCAGAAGACTCCACGGATGTGTGGCAGGGATTTGTTTGACTTTCCGGGGGTGGGAGGTATATTGCTGCTGCCGTCTTGCGATCGCATTATCGAAACTGGGCAGTCCTTGAACACCGTTTCTAGTTTTAGTGCAGTCTAGCCTCAAGAAGAAACAAAAATGCTGTACTGGTTTTAAGCCCCAGACCCTACTACCTGAAGCCCGGAACCCCTAAACCTAAAACCACCAAAACCCTAGACCCAACAATCAGGAAACACAGAGACAATGCTGCAGCAGCTCGCATCCTTTACTGTGGAGAGCGCCGGCTGTCACTGCTGCAGAAAGGGCGGCGAGGCTGCTGGGTCGCCTAGTTTGGGGAGCCAAAAGGCACATAAGCATAACCATTGTGTGTAGGGATATCCCTACCATATGAATAAGCTTCCTTATAAGGGGGTTTATATGGGATATCCCTATCCTATTTTTTGCTTATGTGCTTTTGGGGGGCCCTAGTAGTTCCTTTTCAGCTTAGGGCGTTCGTTACTCGGATGCCCAGAAGTACCCTTATTCCCCTTGTTTGTAGTCCTTGGTTCCTTCTAAAGCTACCCAGTACCAGAAAGGGAGCCCGTTTTATTCCTAGGTTACTGGGCATCCTAAATTAAAGTTTGGGGCTTCAAGGTTTGGGGTTCAGTCCAGAGTTTATTGCCCCTAGTAGCTGAGCAGGTAACCTTTAACCTTTTGGGTGCGTATGGGTAGTTGTCAAAATTAGGGTCCTCTTCTTGGGTACCCTGAATTTTTAGGTGCCGTATTGTAATAAGGACCCAAAAAAGGGGACCCTGATTTTGACAACCACCCATATAATCCTGCAAGTAATTGAAAAGTCTAAGCTTTTTCAGGCCAGGGCACCCAGCCCCTCAGTTTCCTAGACCCCAAACCCGAAACCCTTAAAACCCTTAGGGTTTGAAGTCCAGAGGCCCGCTTGGACCCCCCCCAAGGACCCTCTAATATACCCCAAATGCCCACTATTGTTGATGATATAAATCCTGCATTACCCATAATAGGGAATATACCATAATTCCCGTAGTTTAGGATCCTTAAGGTGATGCAGGATTTATAATATATCATCAACCGTATTAAGGGCCATATAAGGGCTCTATTAAAGGGCTCTTGGGGGGTCCTGGAGTGAGTAGTACTCTTCAGGCTTCTGGGGTGTCGGGTTTACCAGGATCGCCCCCAAGGCCCTAGAATCTTGGCCTTGGATTCCTGAATGCAGGGCATCTGGGGGTGAGATATCCCAGACCGTCTGAAGGGCCAAAAAGCGGATCCCCGATTTGAGACCCTAAACTACTAAAGGCTACTTATTATAGGTTTTAAGAACACCCTTAGAGGATCTTCTTTTTGGGGTCCTTCGGGCAGTCTCGGGGTTCGGAATTATTGCTAATGGTTTCTTAAACTATAACGTCACCCCGAAACGCTCATCTACTGATAAAAGGCCCCATACTAAACCCTTGTAGCAACCCCTTACAGAACTTGCTGAAGAAGCCCTATTCTAAATATTTAGGCCCCCGTTGATTGGGGAGAACCAAGGATTGTCCCCACGAAATCTGCGATCGGGCCGTCATCGCACAGTGCATTCGAACCTGGTACGGTTCTGTAGAGACCTTCGAGGAGACTGCATCTTAGTAGCAGAGTGGCTCCCCTCTATCCTTTTGAGCGGCTTAGGGTTTGGCGGTAATCTTTTGGGGCTTGTATAGTGGTTTTGGGTTCAGGGGTGACCTTTTGGGGCTTGTTTTGTCCGAGCATAAATCAACGCATGAGCCGTTTGCGTGCCGGCGAACTCAGCAACCAAGGTAAAGACTCGTGTCAAGACCATGCTGTACCGCCAGCTGGGTGGATTGTTGTTTCCTTATGGCTGGAAGGTCGTCGGTGGATTACCTCTGCTGCTGGGTTCTTAAGGGTCTTGATTTCAGTTACCATAATAAAGAATCCATAGTATTTACTATAGGTCCCTAGTATGGTAACTTAAGCTAGGTTCCTAAAGCCTAATCCCTAAACTCCTAAAACCCTTAAGCCCTAAAGCCCTCAATTCCAAGACCCTAAGCAAGAACCCAGGTTGTGGGGCTTCTGTGACATGACGGCTGCTCGCTTGAGAGCAGCAAGCTGGAGAGGGGCTGCAATCGTGTTCGCCGGCGGCCTCACGTGGTGTTTCTGAGCTCTTGTTTAGGAATTTAGGGGTTTAGGGCTTTGGTTTTGGGTTTAGGGTTTGGGGATTTTAGGATTTAGGGGTTTTAGGGGCATAGGGGTTCTTGTTCAGGAATTTACTGTAAGTGAACATAGTAGGGATCTATAGTAAACTCTATGGTTTCCTAATTTGGTAGTTTGATTTGCGCTAGACGCAGCTTGACGCAAATCCAACCCTAAACCCTAAAACCCTTTAAAATAGATCCGTTAAAGGAACCCTCATACATCCCTGGTATGCTGTGATGGTCGCTTAGATCAAATCCAACCCAGGTTTCTTCCTCTGCCCCCAACTCTTTGAAGTGGCGTTGCTGCTGGCAAGGTATTTTAGGAAGAAGGCGCCAGGCACCTGGCTAGACAGGCTGAAACTTGGTGTTGCTCTTAGGACGTTAACTTTTTGGGCTTCCATATGAATTATATGAACTAGAAGAAACAGGCTACAACTTTCACTTTTAGGAGGGGTTCAGAAGTCAGCTGAGGAAAACTATGGCAGTTGCATTGCTGCTGACCATCCTCTCGTTTATTGGAAACATTACGTCGCTGGTGCAGGATCCCCTGCCGACACTTCTTTGGTTTGTTGCTCCAGTGATAATTGCTGGGGTGACTTGGATTGTCAGTCGATATCAGGCCCGACAAAGGGAGCGGATGCTGGCGTCTTGCTGGCATGTTCGGAAAATGCTTACGTACTTTATAGCCTGGTCGTCGTATGGTCATAAATGTGTCTGAGGGGCTGACAAGTGCAATCCAGGATCTGATGGAGCTGGAACAGGAGGGCCGCGTTGTAAACTCCATTCATTCTCTTCATGATGCAGTTGCTGCTGGCGAGACCATGACCGTCGTTTCACTTTGAGCACCATACCCAGAGAGTCCATAGCCATCATTATGGCATTAGGCCACCAATACCATAACAAGGATGTCTTTGGACCTTCCGAGATGGGGTATAGCACGCACTCACTTGCAGATTCTACACAATCCAAGGTCCCAATATGGAGGATCGCGAAGTCAGAACAGCTACTCAATACTAGGCATTGATTTGGCATATTTGTTCACGCCTCGTATTGTTCATGTTGAGCAAGTATGGAGCCCCCAATTCTCAAGCAATTTCGCATTCTTGGAATCAACACCTAGATAAGTGTACATCAGATGCGACATCCGTTTGCCGCACTCTGTTTCACAAGGCATCATCCAACTGATGCTTGGCAACACGTACATGCCAGAAAAGGTTGCGTCCAAGTTCAAGTCACACGCCTCAAAACCTTTCTGATCACGCCAAAAAAAGTAGGATGCCCAGTAGTACCCGTATTCCCTATTTCTAGTCCTAGGTTCCTTATAAAGTTACCCAACACCAAAAAGGGAGCCCTTTCTATTCCTAGGTTGCTGGGCATCCTTGACGCCGCCCGATTCTTCAGCATAGCAGCGCAACCGCCACAGCCATCCAAATTCAATTCCTGGACCAGACACCAGAGCCCCGGACCCATACGCCAAGCTCTAAACCCTAACTAACCCGATTAGTATTACTGTCAATCTGCACCCCCCCCTCGCCCGGGCCCGCTAAATAGGAACCCTGGGGCTTTTTGGGGTTCCTGATATGAACCCTATTGGGGGGTTTGGGGCCAGGGTGCCTTGATCGGGTTCCTACATTATGAGTCACACCTGAATCCAGGGGTTCCTAATTGCAACTGCGTTCAAGCTCAGAGTCTATAGGACTTAGCGTTTAGAGAGTGTTGCTAACGGGCTTTTTAGCAGCCTTTTGGGGTGTCCTCTCAAATCCAAATCGCAGACACCCAAGCCTGCAGCGAGTGACCCATAACCAAAGCCGGCTCTTAGTTAATGGCTGGGCTTGGCTAGCTTGCAAGATTGCTTCAAGCTTACCTTAACCCACCAGAACCTACGTTTTGTAGGTTCCCCTTACATCCTTCTTTGGGTTGGTAATAAGAACCTACAAAAAGTAGGGTTTGGTAAGAGGCAATGGAGGTTTATGCAAAACTGTCAGACACTCCATGTCCAAACAGACGATCCCTGACGCCAGGATACAGAGGATTCTGAATACATACAACCATATTTAGAACGGTCTCATGAGATTTTGCGCTGCACCCAGTTTGGGGGCTCGAGTTACTAAGGGTACCTTATATGATTAGAGTATCATATGCCCCAACACCCTCTTCCGATTAATTCACACCCCTACATCATCGAACCCTTGCACAATAAACCCCAAATTCTAAACCTTATAAATCCTAAATTCTAAGCCCTGCCCCTTCTAAACCCTAAGCCGTTCAAATGAACCCTTTACAAAAGCCTTTAGAGGAGCCGAAAGTCTTAGACTGAGGCGGTTGAAGAAGGAGAAGATCCCTCAGGGCTTGATGTTCTTCAGCAACCTTCAGGCGGACCGTTTGGGGGACGTTCGGGGGCTATGGGGCTATGGAGACATGGGGCTATAGGGTTTGTGGGGTTTAGGGGGTTCAGGGTTTCAGGGGTTCAGGGTCTGAGGGGGGGGGGGGGGTTAGGATATAGGGGTTTTAGGGTTTAGAGGCTAAACCCTGAGTCCCTCAACCCCCAACCCCAGATTCGTGGGGGTCGCAGATGCAGGACAGGGTTATATGGGTAGTTGTCAAAATTAGGATCCCATTTTGGGTACCTTAAATTTGAATATTAGGTGCCGTATTATATTAAGGACCCCAACAGGGACCATGATTTTGACAACCCTGGGTCAGCCCTTATTCCCTTTGTTTAGGTTTAGGTTCACTTATAACCCGCTTTAACCCAGAAAGGGCGCCGTGTTGATTCCTAGGTTACGCATGTCCTAGTATAGAATTTATCGTTGAATTGACAGTTGTTGCTTTTTCAGAGGTTCCCCCAAGTTTTATAGAATAGGCTCTAAGGGCTTTCGGGCCCAAAGACTATACTATATGAGGCCTTTGGGCTATTTTGAGCCTCAGGGTTAAATAATAGGCAGATCGAGGAGCAGCTCGGCGCCATGCGAGGCTGAGCCCAAGCCGGGACGGAATGAGAGCGGCAGCTTAGATAGTGAACGGGGGAACTTTAAACTTGTTGGCCTTACCTAGACCCTCCATCTACCCTCTATTAGACCCTAAATGCCCCTTTATTTGGGACCATATACCCTATTTGAGGGTACAAGGAGGGTCCTGGTATTTAGCTCTTTTTCAGAAAGTTTGGACTTTTTTGGGGCCCGGTTGTTGAAGAAGAGAGGCAGTATGCCATCACGGTGGAGTCGGATCTGAAACAGCAGCCTCAATAATTGCCTACACTATTTTGGGGGGGTCCTTCTTATGATTGTAGTATAAGGGACCCAAAATATCTTAATCTAATTCTTAACCCCTATCTTACCCGAAGTTGATGTTGGCACCTTCGTGTCCAGGATGTCGGCGCGACTGGTGGAAGAGTTGCTCGGTAGCCGCGGTGGCAAGCAGAGCGAGGCTGCAGAAGCCAGCGTTCAGCGTGCCCTGGAGGAACCTGCTCAGGGCAGAAACAGTTGGCGCTGGACCTCGCAAAGGACTGGAGCAGCTGCACCCAGCCTGCGTTCCGCTGCAAAATAGGAGAGCCCCGCGGCCCGGATGAAGAACCGGCGACCGGACAGCCGGCCAGTTGTGCGCCACGCATGACAGCGGTTGCTGACAGAGCAGTGCATGCCAGGCTGTACAGACCTGAATGCTGTTCATTCCCTCGGTCCTGTCATGTTGTGAAGATCTTGCGCGCACCCTAGATTGTAGTACCCTTGTTAGGGTCATGCAGGAAGAAAGCAAGGTAGCCAAAGAAGAGAAGCACGATGGAGGGTCGAGGTACATCATATCCGTCCCTACAGCACTACACTACACCGACACCGTTTCGTTCCCTACAATCCTTTATCAACGCTCGCTGAAACACTTCCGGCTCCTAAACCCTAACCACCCCCCGCGCCTTCACACAATCAAGAGACAGCCACACCTGCCAGGTCTTGAAAGTTCGAAAGAACTTGTTGCCCAGCCGGCATGCTTCCCCCTCCTTTCAGGAAGGCTTCTTCAAACCTAGGCCTTTAGGGGCTCGGGTTTAGCGTTCAGCGGTTCAAAGGAAGCGGCTTGTCTCACGGGTGATCAAAGCTTTACCTACACCCCATGAGCCCGAGGGATGGTGAGACGGTTCCTAGGATGCCCAGTAGTACCCTTATTCCCTTTTTCTAGTCCTAGGTTCCTTACCAAAAAGAGAGGCCTTTTTATTCCTAGGTTACTGGGTATCCTAGGTTCTTAACGCCGAGGTTTGGTGTTGGGTGGTGTTCAGGCTATGAGGCCCAATCAGAGCACTAAACTCTCCATCAAGGTTAAGGTTTAGAATTTAGGGTTTAGGGATCAGGGTGTTATGAGTAAGGTCTCTACATTAACTTACGGGTGTAGCTCGGATTCGATAGTTGTTTAGAGGGTGGCGCCGTTTTTCAAGCATGATGTGAAAGGACTGTCGTTCTATAGGCTTTCGTGATGTTTCGTGGTTTCCCGGCAAACAAAAGCGTGAACATAGGTTATGATGTATCACCATCCTTCGGTCATACACATGTCACGTTACGGACCTGGGAGTTTCCGAAAGTAGGGGACCCTAAAAAAGTACCCTAAGTAGTACGATCCTTATTATAAGGACCCGGACCCCCAAACAGGGTACCCTTCTTTTCGGAAGCTCCCATATGTGCGGGAGGTTGATGGTTGTTGGCGCTACCCTGCTTCCGGATCCCTTTATAAATCAGGTTTCCGTGTTTTGCTCCAATTGCAGGGAGGGGCTCAGCAATTAGAATAGGATTCCCAAACCGCCCCTAAACCCTAAACCCTAAACCCAAAACCCTAAACCCTAAACCCTAAACCCCCCTGTTGGACATTAGATTACAGTATTCACCCAAGCGCTGCTCCAGTTCTCGAGGCTCCTATGGAAAACTGGGGTCTTTTCCCTAAGGGTCCAAGTGCCGAATCATAACCATATGATAGATCGCCAGCTAGTTAGATACGTAGATACCCTTCGAAATTAGCCTACATAGCTACTATCCTAAACCCAAGTGCCCTAAACCCTCAACTCTAAACCCTAAGCCGTAAACTGCCTTAAACCCTAAACCCTAAACTTGTCAACCCTACACCCCTTAGGTTTGGGTTTCAGAAGCCAGGTCAAACTTCAGCGCGCGACTTCCAAACCTCAGGGAGCCCGAGACTCGAATCATCTCCCTGGGCAGGGTTTCTGATTAAATGAGTATGAGTATCATATGTACAAAAGGGGCGGCTGTGTTGCTTAGTAGCTGGGTGGATACACTTTACACTTTTTGGGATAATCTTACCCCACTAAAACAGCCAAAAGTGTACACTTTCTGGGGCCTATGAACTCAGCAACCAAGAGTATCATATGTACATATATGTATGTATATAAATTGAAAATATACGGCTTAGTTTGTGTTATATATATATACACACACATATAGGTGTATGTATATATACATATATATATATGTATATATATATATATATGTATGACGGTGCTACAGCGGTTGGACATTTTCTTTGGGACTTTACCAGAGTTTTAGATGGCTTGTTGAGCTTCATTTTCGAGGGCTATCCAATTAAGGTGTCTCTGCATGCATCTCTAAACTGTGAAACCCCCAAACCTTAAAAACTCTAGACCCTGGGCCCTAAATCCTAAACCTTAAACTTAAACTCTAAACCCTAGACTCTACATCCTAAACCCTAAACTCTAGACCCCAGGGCTTGAGAAGCCTCTCGAAAATGTCGCCAGGGGCAGGGTGTCGGCAGGATTATGACATGATGGATGCTCATAAGTTCATAGTGGATTGGTTCGTTGGGGGGGGGGGGTGTTCGTGACTTGGATGCGAACAAGTTTTCGTGCGCACACACGCACACACAAACACACACACACACACACACACACACGCACACACACACACACACACACACACACACACATTCGCTCATGACACACAACTAGAGAAAACCCAACTTTGAGTTTTGAACCCAGAAGCCGTCAGCATTTTACTTAGAAGCTTAATTAAGCCCTATTTAGCACATTCGTAGGCCTCCAAACATTCCTGAACACGAAGTTTTTGGGGGACACAGCGAAGTGCGAAAGCCCGAAGAGGGTACTCTTCCAAGAAGTTCCAAACCCTAATCCCCAAGAGGAACTCTTAATTGAACGCCTACAGGAGCGCATGAAGGAACCTTTATCTTTACAGACAGAATTAGAGGAATCCTTAAAAAAAGCCTTCTGCGAAAGACCGTTCATGGGCTACTGTTTCACGCGCCACTCCTTTAGGCTGGATCTTGGTTACAACAAGCTGCAGGCCGAGTGCAGAGCGGGTTTTGTTCCCTCAACACTTGGCTCCCGACACCTTGAATCATTGAAGAGACCAACAGCTCTCATGATATCCGAAGCCTGGCTTTGTAGAATGTCAAAGGGCTTCATCAAGGTTAGGGGGTTGTAAGGCTCTGCCATATGAGAGTTTATTTAGGCTATTGGAAGGTTAGACTATACATGTCGGAATATTTACCGACATCATTCCTCAGGGTTGTTTGTTATGTATAAGTACACTACTCTACTACACCCTGCTGGGTTGAGGATTTAGGATTTACCTGGACCCCAAGAAACCTACCTTTTTAGGACTCCTTTCTATGATTTCCTTATATACGTCCTTACAAGGGTAGGTTATTTGGGGTCAAGGTAGGGTTTCGGGTTCAGGTCTCCAGAAACCGCAAGCTTCTGAACAGAGTTGACATCGAGTCGGATTTGCTTACATGATCCTAGTACTGTAGTAGAGTTGGTAGCCTTTAACCGTTTTGGGGTAGTATAGTCCCTATATAATCCCTATATAACCAAAAGGTCAGCCTTTAGTTCCGCATGAACCCGACAAGTAGGTGATCCACATGCTGCGAGAGATTCTTGACTCAATCGAGGGCGCAGACTACAGTAAGGACGATTAGTGCTGGGATTCCCTGTACAGTGCTTTTAAGGATTGAGGCTTTTGGGTTTTCAACTTTTCGTCTTATAAAGCACCCCCAGCATCCCTAAACCCTAAGCCCTATACCCCAACCCAGCATGAAATCGGCCTGGGTCCGGATTGTTTCTCTCCGTTATATACCTCAGACCATCCTGAATCGTTCCCACCGAGACATACACTCTAAACCTCCGGATGCCCAATGCACTACATACATCCTATGCTAGGACCTTCAACCGGAATCCCTAAGCTCCAAATCCACCCCGAACGCAGGGTTTGGGGTGTAGGTCTCAGGGTTTACAGCTGTGTCTAGAATCTACTTTCCAGGCAAAACCCTCAACCTTAAACCTTAAACCTTAGACCCCAAGCTGTCAAACCCAAGCTTCCATCCTCGCAGGCAGTGCCGGCGATCTATCTGACACCGAAGCTGGAGGCTTTGTGAAGGGCACCAGGGTCTAGGGTTCAGGGGGGTTTCATGGTTTGGGTTTTGGGTTTTACTATAACATGATGAGGTTCCCTCTAAAGGCTTCTAAGGACTGCTTTCCCAGATGACGGTTAGTTTAGCGCTTCGGGTTTAGGGTTTCGGAGTCGACCCAAAATCTCTATGAGCCTTGATCCCCAGCTCGAAAACGGGTTTAGGGTTTAGGGTTTAGTTTAGGGGTTTAGGGGTTTAAGGTTTAGAGTTCTAGAGCTCCATGCTTGAATGCTTTTTGTTTGGGCATGTTCCTGAAGGGAACCCCAAAACGAAACGAAAGTCCATGCCGTTTCTCCCTTGTTACGTCAATGTCCAGAAAACCCTGGCGGATCAACACCCCTGAATCTCTGCCACGCTTTGCACCGACAAGTTAAGCCCAACCGTGTAGCCAAGATTCAATCCGCTCGCAACAACACTATACGCCTCAACCAAACACTGCCCTAACTTCAAACGCCCCAACAACTACTGTATAATTGTAGAAGCCTAAATAAATACCAATACTATTCCTCAGAGTTCCCTATTATTAATGTATTATCGAGAAACCCAAAACTATTCTAATGATTCAGGCCCCAACAAATACCCAAATCCATCTTAGCGCCAAGCTGCCAGGTGCTACTCTTGTGTCACAACCAGATTAAGGGGACTCTCTTGGAGCTGAAAAGCTGTGAGGCCGTGGCTTAGGGTTTAGGGTTCAGGGTCGTTGTACTCTTGGGCTCTAAGGACTCACATTTTAAGGCTTTTGGTCCCAAAGACCATACCATATAAGGCTTTTGCCGGTCGCTTCAAGCAGTGTTACTTTTACTAGGCTTGAGTGTAGCAGTGTAGCTGGATTCTTTGACGGTTCCTTGGTCGGGACGAGCTTCTCTTCTGCGGTGCGAATCGCCGAACATGGAGGCATAGCAGTGAGCCATCATTCGGGTGATGCCTTCCCCTCTTACGGGTTCTCTGCCCGTGGCTCTCTGACTGCATTCTCCCGGGAGTCGCTGATCTCCGCGGCTACAAAAACAGCAACCAGAGCGAAGTCCCAAGGTGGGGTGCTCGTGCTTGTGGAAGCGACCCTCCCTCGCTCAACTCCCTCGGTTGAGGGAGGAACGGAGTACCTGCACGCTGCGTGCCGTGATTCGGGCAGCGTCCGCTCGGGCGAACATTTCCTGGTGGCTCCGCGCCACGCAATCCTGCGGGGCATAGCCGCCGCATGGCCCCGATTGAAAATTGGGGTCTTCCAATATGACCTTTAACCTTTTGGGGTCTATATAATCCTACCATAATCAATGAGGCTAACCTTTTCGGGCAGGGGTACTCAGCCCTTAAGATTCAAGGCTTGGGATGGCGGAGATCAGAGCTGGGTATGGCTTGATTTGGCGACATAGGAATGGACTATTACGATGATATAAATCCTGCATTGCCCATAATACAGAAATATCATAGTCGAGAGTCAATAAGGTAATGCAGGGTCTATATCATCAACCGTAGTCGCCATTGCAGTTCTTCTTTCGGATAAGCAGTTCCACGCCACAGTAAAGACAAGGGAGCCAAAAAGACTTACAATGGGGATTACAGATAACCCGATCCCTAGACCCTAGGGTAGTGTTCGAGGCTTCCCGGGGGGTACTGCCTGAATCATTGGAATAGGGTTGGGGGGGGGGGGGGGGGGGGGGGGGGGGGAATTGGGGGATGAGTAATGATACGACAAGCATAATAAGGAACACCCAAAGACCCTATTCTAATCATTGAGGCCCCGTACACATGCATTAGTCATGAGGATGTTGGGACCATCAAGGCTGACGAAGTTTTAGGCCCTTGGGGTCTTATCAGTTGTAGAGTGGGCAACTTCTTGGGGTACTTTAATCCGTAAATACCCCGGGAAGTTGACCCCTTGCTACCTTAGGATACCAGACAAGTAAGCTTTATATTTCGAAATGGGTGGTTGTCAAAATTATGGTCCCTTTTTGGGTCCCTGGTAAAATACGGCACCGATTATTTAGGGTACCCCAAAAGTTACCTTACATAATCTTGACACTCACAAATGGTGTTACCCTAATTTTCCTGTCATCCCACTGCGCTGTATAGATGAACCAGGTCGCAAAATGTATCACTGCATCTTTCAGTGAGCCATGCTCTTATTGTTGAAGTTGTCGGCGGCCGCCGCATTGAACATGAAACTCGTAAATATTGTGGCCCATGGGTCTATAATATCTATCTATAATGCCTACATACATAACATATATACATATATACACACATTCATTAGTATATCTGTTACTACTGGTGTTAAGATTCCATATCCCTTGGCCATGTTCCGTGAGCTGAGTAGTGTAAGAGTTTAGGGGTGAATGATCGCAGCTTGCTGATCCCGTAGCCTTACCCCAGGGCTCCATTTATCTAAAATATTGAGCTAATGGGTTACATATTCGATGGTTAGTACCCTACCATTTCGGCAACTGGAGCCCTGGGGTTAAGGTAGGTTCCCTAAGGATACTTATAGCAGCCATAACCTTAGATAGTGAACGGTGGAACTTTAAACTTTTGGCCTTATATATAGCTCTATCTTAGAAAAATTGAACGCTTTGGGGCCCGGTTGTTGAAGAAGCGAGTAACTGTAGTTCCAACCATTGGAGCCTTGTTGTTTGTGTTGCCAGTACCTGCATAGCCCTTTACAGGATCGAAATCATAGAGCCTCAAGAAATGCATCCTACCACTATAAAGCTGAAGGTAGGCCTTGTCTCACGGATTCTACTTGCTTTGTGGTGCGGTAAACCTGAGCTTTGGGTAGGCAGTTGCTGTCATCACCCGTGTCCATATGGTCCCTTCGCGAGGCGCTAAAGCGGATTGATTTGTCGAACAACGCGACGTCCTGGCGTGATTTTGGAAAGTTCTGGGCTTAAGGTTTCAGGGTTCCAGGTCTAAAGTCCAAGGCTTCTACTGGTTTCTGCTTGTCGCACCTTCTGGCAGATGACAGCAGCTCTGGACCCTCAAAGCCTTTTCTCCCCAAATTTTGTTGTGGGTTGTACGGGGATTCTGGAAAAGGATATTCTAAGGGCATCTAGAAGTCTTACTTAGACATTAGCGCAGATCTGGGTCTAAGCTATACTAATGCTACTATGCCCCAGCCTTTATTCTGGGCCCCCGAATGCCTCTTCAACACCATGACTTCTGAAGCCCAACCCAAGGGGTCCTAACTATTCATATGGGTTACTTGCCGGGACTTTTTAAAGGCACCATCAAGCCCGAACCCTTAATGGAACCCTTACAGCATCCTATATGCTCGCTTATTGGGTACTTAGGACCCTCTGGGTAAGCCGCATGCACAACTAGCCCTAATTGGAGGGTCATGGGACTTAGTAAGTATGGTTATAAGTACCTTAATTGGGTTATAAACAATTATAAGTATAGTTGCCTTAATTATAACCCTAGTTACTAAAATCCATGACCCTCTAAGTAGCCATCTCAGGGTTTTGTGATGTGCGGTCAGACCAGAGTTCGACTCGGGAGTTGATGTAGGAGCTATGTGGGTGGTTCGGTGGTTGTCAAAATTAGGGTCTCTTTTTGGGCACCCTGAATATTAGGTGCCGTACTATATCCGGGACCCAAAAAGCGACCATAATTTTGACAACCACCCATAAGGGCTCCTTTAAAGGGCTCCAAAAGGGTTGAGGGTTTAGGGATGTTTAGGGGTTCAGGGCTTAATGTAGGAACCTGATTAAAGAAGCCTTGGGTTCTTTTTTATCAGGGTTTTCTCTTGTTTCAGCGTTCCTCGCCGCTTTCCGCTCTAACGGAGGGTTGAAGGTTTAAGGTTTAGAGGTTCGGCGGTTTAGGGTTTAGGGTTTAGGCTTAGGGTTTAGGGTTTAGGTTTAGGGTTTAGGCTTAGGGTTTATCCAGAAAAGCTCGACAAAGCCTTTGGAGCTAGTATCTTGTGGGTTGAATGTCTCTGTTGGTCGGCCCTGCTTCTTGTGAGACACCTCTGGTAGACACCTGCCCAGAGAGGTAAGTGGGGAGGCACAGAGCCTAGACGTTGAAGCCTAATACAGGGACCTTAATAATTAGAGTAGAAGTTCCTCTGGAGTTCCTTCGACAATTGTAGAATTATCGGGTTCCTATTCAAATCACAGTATAACAGGGTTCCTATTCTTCATTTGGTAGATACTATAGCACGGAATATCTCGCTGTAAGTGTTGAGGCCCTTGTATTTTGCAGCACGCTCCTTTGGCAGCCTGCTGAGACTGCCGAGGTTCAAGTTTAAAGGAGAGGAAACCAGAGAATCATGCTAAATATTGCTTACAGCCCGTTACTTACTACTCCTAAACAAAACTTGGGTGTTGCAGTAACGCAACTCGCAAAAGAGTGGCTGTGTCCAGACACCCCAAAGTTCTCGATGCATCTCCGGAGTCGGCGTGAGAAGGCTAACCGGACCACAGAAGTTTCTACCACGCAGGGGGCTGCGCGTATTGGAAAGAGCGGAGTGGGCGGTGCTGCAGTTGACGACCTTTCCAAGCGAAGAAGGTGGTCATTTTGCAGGGGTCTACAGTAATGTGAATAACTACCGATACTACCCCTTACGATTCCTATTGCAGATACAGCACATAAGCTAAAGCCCCTTTTGTTGATTATTATTTCGGCACCTTTGACCTTCGTGTAGCATCCGTAAGATAAGCTAGATGATTAGTCCTGCTATTCACATGGGACTGTAGCTTTCCATTGCCACTGGCACCCAAGCGCCTCTGGGACATAAAACTCCGTAAACATAGCAGACATGGACCCTCTTTCTCGGAAAAACGCCCCAAAACCGTAAATCCTTAAGCCAGCAAACCCCCCGAAGCCCTTTTGTCAAAGCCAGGTTCGACTTCAACGCCTCGACCTTGCAAAAAGAGATCCAGGCGTGTCGCCTTTGATAGTACTTCATGTAGGGGCCTTAACAGTTAGAACGGGGATTTTGGGAGGATAATATACGATAACTATAAAGACAATGAGTAAGGCACCCCCAAGACCCTACATTACTTAGTAGATCTTGCAGGTAACCAACCTTTCACCTCTTTAGGGGTACTATCATCTTGAAGGTGAATCTTTGGTTCCCCTACGATACTGGACTTGTAAGAGCATGGATGACAGGATGCAGGTTGCTGTTGGGGCCTGTCCCAACCGACCAGCACCTCCTCTCTGCAGGGTCCCAAAATACCCACAAATGTCGGGCTTTTTCGCGGACCCTGCAAAAGCAATCTCTGATAGCTGGAGCCCATATACTGCTGGTGGGAGTCCTGGTTGCACATGGTATATGCTTTGGCCTTGCAGGGGTTCCCACGTAGCAAGTTTAGCACCCACGCTTTGAGACAACATCATGCAGAGGTCCGAAAAATCGGTAATAACTTTGCTGTATAGTCCTTAATTGCATAGAGTGATTATGCGCAAATGGACGCGCAAATCTCATTCTGATTGTTCAGGCCTCTGTCGTGGATACAGAGACTGCGAGTGTCGAGTCTAGCATCACAGGTACTGCCGGTATCCTTTTCAATCTGGGCTATGGGGGAATGTGTGATTTTGAGGTTTGGGAAAGTGAGTGTGTCGGTGAATCAGTGTTTGGGCCAGAAAGTCATGGCCCCTGAACCACGACCCTGGCAACAGTTACCCACATAATGTCGACACCTGATCAATAAGAGCCGATTCTTTAAAGGCCTTAAGATCAGCCCTTAGAGAGCGGGATTCATCAAGGGTCTATGCACTACTTGAAACAGGGAGCCAACCGCAGGGCACAACACCCTGGCTTCAGACGTATCTGTAGATTTTATGCGAGGCTCACGAGGTTTAGCTTTTTTCCTGTAGGACTGGCCGTCTGAGTGTAAAGCCTATCTCATGTGCATGTCTCTAGTAAGCCCTTAACCTTAAACTGCGAACCCTAAGCCGAAAACAGTAAACCGTTATCCTACACCCAAAAACTTGTACCCTAAGCCGTAAACACGTACCCCATCTGCCCGAAACCACAAACCCTGAACCACCCAAGGCACTAAACCCAACCCAGAATACCCTATAGTCTGTTATGGTGTATCACCGTCAATCACTGCATGACTTAACATAGTACAAGATGAGAACCCGGACCCCCAAAATTATCCCCAAACCCTAAACCCTAAAACCCTAAACCGTTAAAAACCTTCCCAAGCCTAAGCTCCCCCTCGCCACAATGTCTCTGCAGAACATGGCACACTTGCCCAGCCTGATCCTCAAGCTCAAGGACTCCGGGCGGAGGTTTTCGAATTTAGGGCTTCGGGAGTTTATGGTTATTGTAGCATTGTAGCTCATATAGAAGCCTGAATATTTGCAAACTCTAGCTGTTCTAGAGCTGTGCAGACCCTGTTCGGTCTCATATGGTTATTGTTTTCATGTAAGTACAAACTCTGTGCTGTTTATGGTTATTGTAGCTCATGCAGTTGCAATCTCTCTCTCTCTCTCTCTGGGTTCCCCAAAAATCTTAATCTGACCCTTGAAAACCCTGGAACCTTGCATTATAGAACCTTCACAGGAGGCCTTGGAAGGAATCGCTAGAGCTTTAGAGTTACTGTCGACACCGTAACGGAACGAATCCCTAAAGGAAGCCCGCCAAAGGGCTCGGTGGTCTGACGGTGGCAGTTTGGGGTTTAGAGTGAATCCACTTAACGCTGAGGATCCACAGGACCTATTGATTAGCTACTATCAGTAGAATACTGTAACTATGCTGTATATACTCTAACTTGTTGGGGTGTGATAATCCCGATATCGCCCCAAAGGTTACCCTTTGCTTTAGCTCCCCTGAGAACGGGACCAGCAAGAGGAGACACGCATAGAGATCAAAGTATGTGACAGTTACTTGGACTCTTAGGGTAAGGGCTCTGTTCGGGGTTCGATCAGGGCTTCTTTGAAGGCCGATGTTGTTTCTTTTCAGGGGTGGGAGGGCTACGGCTTAATGGTCTTATTAGGGGATTTACATTAGGTATCCGGTAGCATGCTTGTGAGCTTGTTTTTGAGAGGGCCTCCCAGAGAAAGGAAAAGGGGTACGGTACCCTGATAATTAAGAGTATACTCGGCACCCTTGAAACATAAGCCCATGTCGAAAGCAAATTCTGAACCCTTAACATGTAGGTCATTCTTGGTATCCTGTCTTAGAGCTTCATTTGAGTTGTAGCGTAAGTTATGGTGAGGGATCTCTTAACATGTCCTTTTGCACTCGAGTCCCCAGTCCAACAACACCCACACAGGTCAAGTTTATATGCAACTTTGTTGAGGTGCAAATGGACCTGTCGCGTGGTTTGGAGATCAGTCCTAAACCCTCTGCTCAAAGGGGAAAAGGAGGGACCTTTAATGGGGACCCTGACCCTATAATGGGCTATATAATGGGTATATAGTAGCTATATTAAGGGTAGATACCTAGGGGTCCTCATTAAGGGTCCCTCCTGTTACCCTTGGATCTGCCCGAGACCCTGAACTCGCAAATTGTCAGTCGTTTGGGATCCGACTTAGGCTGGCTTGGAATTCCTGCAGGATCACTTATAAATACATTAATTACGAAATTTGAAGACCAATGACTTAATATCGCACTGATCTTCCAATATCCCTTAATTACGGGCTGTACTTGACAGTCATAGTAGGGCACCTAACATGATGCAAGGTACAGTCTGCCCCTTAATTATCAGGGGTATTGGAAGGTCTGGTTACTTCTGGCCGATGATGGGGTTTTCTGCATGGCTGTCGAATAAAGTTCTGGATCCGGGCGTCCTGAACAAGCGTGGGCAATATGGCAGCCTGGGTAACTGATGAATACTATCGCTTACTAGGATTCTGTCTTGTGTTCATAGTACACCGCGAAACCTCTTCTGATTCTTTGAAGGCCCCTGCACATGTTGGTTCCGCGGCGGATATGTGCCAGTCGTGAGAGGAGTCATGATAATACCAACACCTTGTCTTCCCACCTCTGAAATGATGTTTAATGTCATAGGCCCAGGGGTCCGGTAAAATGTCGCTGCTTTGTAGATTTTACCCTGCCTCCATTGCTATTCCTATGGTCCTTAGCTATGTCTGTACGCGATTGCACTTGGCCCAAGTCCCCCGTGGAAAAAGGTCACAAGGGTTGACTTACCGGTAACTAGCCGTGTCAAGCTGGTAGCCTGGGAAACTTCAGGTTATCAGCCGTAGTTAGCTCCGTAATGGACATCGTGCCGTTCACAACGGCCGCGGGCAACAACGGTGACGGTGGTATTGGTGGTAGACAGGAGCAGGAAGCGAACCAGTACTTCTTGCATTTGTTGCAGGAGAATACTCAGGTGAACTTGTTCTTGAATGACCCCCGCATTCAAAGTGCCTTGGAGCTTCGCGCGGAACAAAGACATCGATTTGCATTGGACAACGTGTACGCCGAAGCCAATGCATACATTGCACACCTAGAGGCAACAACGGATGCGAATCATCGTCAACAGCTAGCATTTGTGAGCCAATCCACACACCTGTTGGTGGGACAGCTACACAACGAAGTACGAGTGCTAGAGACAATCGCCCGAGCAGAACGACAATCAGCCAACGAGCTGCAGGCACAGCTGGCACGCGCACAAAGGGAAAGTCATGATGAAAGGTCTATGGCCATGCAGTTTGATGCACATCGGTCCGAGCTGGAAGCAGCAGCGCGCACGCTCACTGCGGAAAACAGACAGCATGAACGCCGTTTCGCGGAATTGCGCTCGAGTATCGAAGAAAACCACAGTGAGATGATTGCCTTTTTAGGGTCTGAGTTTGAGGAAAAGCTTCAATGGGAAGAGAATGAGTACTACCATAGGCTAACCTCTGAGGCACAGCAGTACGATAGCTTGGTTGATGACCTGCAGGACAGGAATGCGGAGCTTATAGCTGAGGTCGACTCACTCAGGACTGTCTTGTCGACAGCGGAGAGTAGCCCACCGCAAGGTGGTGCCGTGCCGGTGAAAGTCGATCCCAGTGAGAGCTCCAAGCTTCAACCAAGCCCACCGCAAGGTGGTGCCGCAGCGCCGCTTGTTCAGGGTCCCAGCCACTCATGGATTCCGATCCTTCCGAACCCCAGGGAGATTCCTGTGTCGCTTCGGACGGTTTTGGGAAGGACCCAACGGTATGACATTGGTGAGCCTGAGGATTCCAAGGCCCACAATGTAGCGGTATCTGCTGCTGAACAGAGTGACAACAAAGAACCGGCAGAAGCTACTGAAAACAAAGAGCCTAGCGTACTTCTCGCTGAAGCACTCAAGTCGGTTATCCAGAAGCCTGACGACGACAAACCCAAGGCTAAGGAAGCCGAAACGGTGAAGCTACCCGACTTCCCTAACCCGGAGACTTACAGGAGTTGGAAGATCACGGTTAGGGAGGCCGTTCGGGCAGCATCGGACAGACCCGATGAGGCATTCAAATGGGTTCAAGAGGTTTACTCCAGGGAAGCCGATCCGGAGAAGTTGAGGGACACGGGTAAATTCCTCACTTTGGACACAAAGATCCTTTCGGCGCTTTCGAGGGTCGCAAGAGGTGATCTTGGACGACAGATCATTAACAGCTGCTGGTAGGGCCGTTCGTGGTAGACAGGTTCTACTGCTGTTCGAACACTACTTTAAGACCAACGAGGAAGCAGGTTCCCTCTACTTTGTGGAAGATCTTCTCAAGGTGCAGTTGAATGGTGATGACCTTAGCACTTTCATTCACAATTGGGAGTCGGTCATCGCAGGGTTGAACCACCAACCCGAGGAGACTACGCTGAGAGATATTCTACTTCGGCAGCTTCGCAATGCTAGCAAGCTCAAGTTTGATCTGGAAGTTTACGACAGGGCTAAGGAAGGAACAGAGCAGCGCACTTATGACTACTTGGTCAAATGCGTGAAAGAGCTGTTGGCAAGAGATAGGACTCGCAAAAACCGCACAGCAATCGCCAAAGCTCACGGTGCTAGATTCGGTGCCCCTGCTCCTTCCGATACCCCGAACACCCCTCGCGGCCGAAGCCAGGACAAGCCCTGCTACGCTTTCCAGCGTGGGAAGTGCCCACGAGGTGATAAGTGCCCATACAAGCACGTGAAGCCTACTCCTGAACAGACAAGGGGCAGAACACCTCCACGCACCCCTTCGAGAAAAGGTGGAGGTAAAGGCGGTAAAGGTGGGGAGAAGAAGGACACCTCCAAGATTCCTTGCATCTTTTTCCCCAAAGGCACCTGCAAGAACGGTAAGAATTGCCCATTCATGCACAAGGATGCCGCTCCCTCTGTCCCGGCCAAAGGCGATAAGGCTGGCAAGGACGGGAAGAGATCGCCCTCCGGCAAGCGCAGGCGACCCAGTAAGAAAAGGCCAAAGAGTGAGGACAAGCCAGCCGCATGCTGTCTCTCCCTCACAGCCACCCTCACGGGTGAGCCATCGGCCGATGCTGGGAAAGCCTGCGCAGTAGCAGCCCGCAAGGGCCCTGCCGGAAAGCCCCGAAGCAGAAAAGTCCAGTTCCTAAGGCCAGAAATCATTGACATCCCGCCTGAAGGTGGAGGTTGGAGCTTCGTACCAGACAAGCACAAGTACGAATTCAGGTACAAGTCTGCGGAGCTATGCCCACCATCAATTCCAGAGGACACCGAAGAAGCTTTGCAGAATGCCCGTCACTTGGAATCAGCAGTGAACGGGATGAAGCTTAAGGTTCGGGTCAAGTGTAACTACAGGTGTCGGGGTAGAGAAGGATTCTGCACTCACTGCAAAGAAGCAATTCCCCTGCCCCAACTTGCTGCAGCGGCGGTGACAGGTGAAAACCTCGAAATCATCGCAGACACCGGTAGCGAGGAAGATCTGATTAGTCACTCTGATTTGGAGGCCCATTTCAAGGGCAAGGCTAAGAAGGTTGCTTCCAACCCAGTGAGTTTGATCACTGCTAACGGACCAGTAGACGCTGATACCAAGCATGAGGTCTACATTGAGTCATTGAGGAACCCATTGCAGTTCGTTGAGCTCCCCAACACACCTGCAGTTTGCTCTGTAGGAAAGAAGTGCATGGAACAGGGGTTCTCTTTCCACTGGCCAGCGGGTGAGGCGCCATATTTCATTTGCCCAGACGGTCAGAAGATGATTTGCCAACTCCGAGGCAATGTCCCCGTATTTGGCGACCGAGGACCATTGATGGCATGCTTAGCGGCAAAGTCCTCAGAATCTGATGGCAGCAAGGTTGCACCGACCTCTGTCAAGTCTGGTTCGGGTTTTCGGTAAACAGCTGCCCGCAAGGGC